CCATGATTTCTTATAAAGTCAACACCCTTGTAACCAGCACCCAGGTCAAGAAACCAAACATTATCATTACCCCAAAGTCTTCCCTTTGTGCCTCCTTTTAGTTACTACTCGCCTCCAAGGTTAACCACTATCTTGACTTCTGCCAGCATAGATTAGTTTTGCTAAATTCTGTTCTTTATATAGATGCAGTCGTATAGGATGCACTTTATTGCATTCTGGCTTCTTTCCCCGGACTTTGTGAGATTCATCCATATTTTTGCATGTAGTTGTAGCCAGAGGTTTTAATCCTCAAAAGCTCGTTCAGCAAACATTATTCAGCCAGGAGCTGTGCTCAGGGCTGAGGACACAAAGTCAATAAGGATAAGTCCCTGCTGTAAGGCATATTCAATCTAGTAATGTAGCAATGACCAGAATTTAATGTAAAGTAAATCCCTCTTTATTTAACAAATATTTATTCAGTGTCCACTATGGGACAAGTACTATTACAGGTGCTAGGGATAAGCAATGAAAAAGCAGATAAAAATTCTGATGGAAACCCTGTTTTATTTTCTGACATGTGTGGGCTAGTTCTGCCCACTAATACCCATATTCTACTCTGTACTGCATCTGAGTCAACATAAGGAGAATTGGTGGCAGAAGCTGTTTCTTCCAGTGACTTGGAGTGAGTTATTATGAAGTCACTGGTCCAACCACGGGATAGTTTGCAAACCAGTGAGCATGTAACTATTTCTACCTTACTTCATTCTCTCCATCCTTGATGCTGCCTATACAGAACGAAACGAATATCTGGAACCCAAGGAAGACTTTGGATGGTAGCTTACCTTAGAGTAAGGCTGAGCAATCCTCTTGTTTCCCAGAAGCCTGAAGTAAAAAGAGACAATTGTCAAAGTTGTGACTGAAATCATAAACCTTTGAATTTGTTTCATTAACTAGGGGTGGCTAATATGTATGACTATTCCTAAGTGTTGACTCTTCAGAGCCTGGTGAATCACTTGAGTATAAAGCTATGACGTTGGAAGGAGGAAGGACAGAAGAGAATCCAACATCATTCCAGGACTGATAGCTTAGGAAGAAATGCAGGAGATCACCTGGTTTTGTTTGTTTGGTTCTTGTCTTCCCCCATTTCTATAGAAAATTTCAAGCGTATAAAAAAATTAGAGATAATAGTAAAATTCGCTCCCATGTACCCAGCTTCCAGATTCAAAAATTATCACCTCATGCTCAGTTCATCTCTAACCCACGGCTACTCCCTCCCCTGATTATTCTGAAGCAATCACAGATGTCAAAGAAGTTATTCAAAACTGTTCAGAAAGTGAGATCTCCTAGTTTTAATCCACTTAGTTAACAGGCTCAGAGAGGATAAGTTACTAAGCTGGTTAGTGGCAGTTATTTTTAACCCTAATACTTCAAAAATAAAAGTCAAAAAGTTTACTAACAGGGAGTATTGGACGTTACATAGTGCAATTAAACTGTACATGTGAGATGTGAATTGTCAAATTATGTCAAACTTCTGGTCTGACCCAGGACCATGGTCACATTTTGGACACTAGTTACAAGTGAAATATGAGGTTCTCTTAAACAAGAACCTTAACATGTAGGCTGAATATTACTTGAACCCATTATAAATTTGTCATCAGTACGTGTAAAACTTTATTTTCAGTTCATATCCATACTTCATCCAATGAATTCCATAAATAAATACTCACTCCAAGAAATAATTTCATATTATTTGGTCTACAATCACCTCCTATTCAGAAAAAAAAAGTTCTTTGAGTTCAACAGAGTGTGGAAACCATTGATAGTTGTTCCTTTTCATCAGTTATTTTGAAACCAAATCCCTGTGGATTTTGAAATTGCAAATAAATTTGTCCAAGTTAAAGTGTTCTTTTTCAACTATTTAGTAACAAAATGGGGTTGAGACTCTTCCTAAGCCTCTTTGTTCCCCATCTTCAGTCTGTTCTATTTTCAAAGAAGGAGGTTGGTTCGTGTTTATTGAGCCAGTGTCAGCAGCTTATCTACTATGAGATATCACAGAACAACCAGGCATGGAGCTGGTTTTCTACATTTCCTAGGCTTGAAACCGTGACACCACTATTTGGGCTAGCCAGAATGTTCCAGAAGTTTCGGGAGCAAGAGGGAAAGATTCCACTAGTGTCTTTGTTATAAAAACCTGCAACTCGTTGATCTGGCTCCTTTGACTGTCATACTTGCCCGATTGTACCTCAAAATGTTACCAAGGGCATGTGACATCCATCACTGTGAGCAGTGGGGCATGAAGCACTCCCTCAATGAGCATTTGATGAAATAATTGAGGGTAAAAAGAGAAAAATTACCTGAATAAATAACACTGCAGAAGGCAGACATCCAGACATTTTTCCATACACAACTCCTACTCATTTCTCTAAGAGCTAAAAGCAGCAAAGATGAACAATCTGTCAGTTTAACCGTCATTGTGTACTTTTTCTGGGCAGGTTATTCACATCGAACTCCTTTGATGTGATCAGTGATGATGCGTTTATTGGTCTCCCTCATTTAGAGTATTTGTAAGTAAAAACGCTTTTTTTCTTTTTAAACGTAATTCAGGACAAGGGCTCTCAGGTTCCTACAGCTGTCTGACAAAAAATATTGTAACCTATTGCAGATTCATAGAAAACAACAACATCAAGTCCATTTCCAGACATACTTTCCGGGGACTAAAGTCTCTAATTCACCTGTAAGTATGAAAGTTGCTGTTACTTCTTAAACTTGCCAGTGGACAATGCAGCTTGATAACCTGTTGTTAAAGCACTCACTTTATGAGTATCCTTGAAAATGTAAGAAATCCAAATGATTTCTCTTCATGCACCCTTGCCATCTCTGCCTGTCCTCAGCCAGTGTATGTCCAAGAAACCAATTACTAGTAATATTAGCCCAAACTAACAATGATTAAGAAAGCAATCAAATATTAGCAGGGAAATTATGTGACTGAAAAAAACATTTTTATTATCTACATCTTTACTCACCTCATGAATTGACTATATAGCTTCATTTGATATTTGCTGCTTTTCTTTGTCTGTATAAGCCCTGATTTCAAATACATTTAAACATATACTAGAACTACAGGCAATGTCTACACAGTACCTGAACAACTTGCTTAATGAAATATTTGATTATTCAGTGGGTGACTGGAGCTACATCGGTTGTTCTTAACAGGGAACATTTGCCAATATCCAGAGGCATGTTTGGTTGTCAAATCTAGAGGATGTAACTGGAATCTGTGGGTAAAGGGCAGCGATGCAACTAAACACCCTGCAACACACGGAACAGCCTCACAACAAGGAATTATCCAGCCTGAAATGGCACAGTGCCAAGGCTGAGAAACCCTGAACAACAAGAACCAAATAACTCGTTTCCCTTACCCTCCCCGCTCCCTACAAGCATGTGCGCACATGCATGTGCACGCATGCCTGCGCGCACACACACGTATTTTTAAGAACACTAGAAAGGCATGGGAAGAAAAGGCACTAACATTTGTTGAGTGCCTACTATTATTATTATTATTATGTTGGTCAGTATGCTTTACATAAATTTCCATTTAATCCTCTCAACAGTCCCTGCCAGATAGGCACGCTAACCCCATTTCAGAAATGAGGAGACAGAAGCTTGGAGCGGACATATGACTAGTAAACAGAGTAGCTATGCACTTATAAGAGCATCAGCTCAGTAGCTGAACCGCCATGGCTACACATCCATCCAACAACTATTTCTCAAGGGCCCAATATGTGTCTCATCAGTGTTAGATAAAATGCAAGAGATCCAAGCATCATAGTCGTGCTGTCAGCTTTAACCTGTGGCCTCACAATACCTCGTTCCCAGCTCTGCTCTAGGCCCTAGGATGCAGCAGGTGACAAGGCAGACAAAAACGCCTGCCCTTGGAGCCTGCGTTCTCATGTGTCCGTGGTCATCATGCTGCTTTTACTAGGTCCTGCCTCTACTGCTGATTGGATTGGCAGCCAAGGGGAACTGATGGCCTGATGTATTTTACAAAATCACTCTACCTTTTAAGGCTTCTATATATAATCACTATAAAATAATAAGAAAAAACATGTTGATAAAACAAACAGCATTTACAACGCTGCTTTTCATGTCAATGTTATAATGTGGTACAAAAATGGGCTCCGTACGGTATGAATGCCATGCAGTGTGATCACAGAGCCAAACACTTTCCAGCCTAATCTTTCAGACAAAAACAAAGAAATGAATATACGGAAGGAGAAATGGAAGTTCAGGACTTCAACTTGAGATTCACTTGATTCACATCAATTCCATTCAACATGGCTCTGTCTAATGGCTCCGCATCATAAGGGCTAAGGAAGGATGTAAGACCCAGGTGTTCTGTCTGGAAACCTGTAATATAAGCCTTGCTGGGACCCAGAGTTCACTCAACTGTATCTTCGCTCCAGGCTAAAAGCCTACCTGGCCTGGAAGGGAGGATAGAAGGGAGGGAGGGAGGAAGAGAGGAAAGAAAAAAAATCTATACAACACCCTAGTGAAGAACATTCATTGTGTTTGTCTAGCACCCATTATGTCCATCAAATGAAATAGGAATTTAAATTTGGGTCAAAATGTGGCCCTTTCTTTAAAAGTATGAAAAGCGTAAAAGGGGGACACTGGTACAGCATGTGCTTAATACTTAGAAAATTTGAAACTCGAGGGAACACAAAAGGCAGCCTTCAGAGAGAGAGGCGTGAATCTTAAGGGTCAAACAGGCAGTGAAAGCAGAGTCCCACCTCTCTGTCTGGGCGCTGGACGTGGGAAGGAGGTGTTAGGAGGGAGCCGGTTAAAGGTGACTGAATATGCCCCATAGATCTCTTGCATCTTTACTGAACACTTAGGTTGATTCGTATGGCATTGCCAATATTAGACTGTGTTTGATCTACAAAAATGGCAATGCCATATGGTTCATCCTAAATAGTTTCTAGCAGGTGTCACACAAAGATGAACAAGATCCAGCTCCAACCTGGAGGAGCTCAGTCCAACAAGAGGAACTGGACAACAAATATTTTCTCCTGGGTGCCTTGTCCCAAATTATGTTCTACTTTCTAATTATGTTGTTCTTCCAGGTGCATTTCTCTCTTTCTTTCTTTCCTCCCTTCCATTCTTTTTTCTTCTCTTCTTTCCTTTTTTTTCCTTCTCAGGAGAGATAGGCAGGAAGGATTTGAAACCCAAATGTCCCTCTGATTGTTCAGTACCTCAAGTTCATTTTCCATTATTTACCACTTATAAATAGATCTGGCATTTATCTGAGCCATTAATTTCCTTTTCAAGATTTTAGGTTTCAAAGTGCACTTTTCTCCACCTCAGACCAGTTCTTCCAAATTAAAGGCAAACATTCAGGCAGTAAGGAACCATCATCTGGCCCTCTAACCTGCACATACTGCAGGAAGAATTTACAGAGACTCTTCATATTCTTGATCTCATTAGAGTCTCTTGATGACCAAATGAAAGAGACAGGGCACTAGCACCAACCCCGCTGAAGAATGAGAACACAGAGATACTCCCTGAGCTTAAGCTGCTCCCCAGTTAGCGGCAGTAGAGCCAGAAGCTTCCCAAGGTCTTTAACGAGATGTCTAGTGCCCTTTCAATGTGTCAGTTATAGCAGGCTCAGGAAGCTTTCATTGAGCTGGCTGGATCCTTCCACAGGACATGATTTGAGAAGCATATATGGCTGGGGAAGAAAGAGAAGATGCGGAAGAAAGGAGCCCTACTCTCACTCTTAGTCTCCAAATGCAAATAGTTGGGATGAGACATACATGTTTAGCTCCAGGTGGTTCCCTCTCTGGCCTAAAATTAAAGCTGCTCTGAGGGACCCACCTGAGCATTTGTACAAATTCAGTTCATTCCTAAAGAAGCAATGAACTTATCTCACCTTCTTATACATCTATCTCAGTAGACTTATCTTCTAAAAGAGACATTTACAGGCAACTTAAAAGTTACTATATAGACCCCCTGTCCCCTCAAACTAACCCCTCAAGAGAGTTCTTTATATATATATTTATAGATTTTAAGAGTTCCTTATATTTAAGTTCTTATAAAACCTGTCAAATCCCAGGACCCTCCCTTGATTACTTTATTTTGAATTAGTGTCCTAGCATTATAGGTGATTAATTTAAATGTTCACATAGTTTATATTTCTCAGAATGCTTTGAATTTTCTGATGACCATGTATTACTTTTGAAATCAGGGAAGAATGAATTAAAAAATAGTTTATGGCCAATGATGACAAAATCTTTAAACACTATGTATTCTGTAACACCCATGAAGTTCCCTTGGGCATCACATAAGTGTCATTGTGGCTAAGGACCATTGGAGGCAGGATTGTTTGCATGCGTGTATAAAAATATCTGGGGATAACTGCCGTTGATCTATACATGTTGTGGAGCACCTATTGTCTGCTCAGCACTGTGGGGGTGCAAAAGACAGATACAGCAGTCCTCAAACTTAGGGTGTCTCTGTGTCCCCCACCAGTCAGGCAGGATGTCCTCATTTCAGCCTTCACAATGACATGAATGTAAAAAGGCCATGCAATATGTGGCTGAGGGGGATCTCTGCCCCAGACTGCCTGGGTTCAAAGCCTGGCTTTACCTGTTAACAGCTGTGGGACATAAGGAAGGTCACTAAGCTTCCTGGTGCCTCCGATTTCTTCTGTGTCGAATGGAAGTGATAATAATCATCTGAAAAATGGAGGTGGAGGATAATAAGAGACTTAGGAGTACTTAGATCCTCAGGATGTCATGAGATTAAAGGAGTTAATCTGTGCAGAGTGCCTAGAACAGAGCCTGGTATGCAGCAAGCACCATTATGTAGAAACAAACAAAATTTCACTGCCTAACCTCTACTGCTCCTGGATCCAGATTCCAAATGCTGCAGTGTATTTATCTCCTTTAAACATTTTGTATGAAATTAAAATAACTGCACTTGAAGTACCGCACATTCAGTGAGACTCCAACTCACACTGGGAATCTGCACTGTGGGGAGGCTGGGGGCGCCCCAGATGGCCGTGGGCGATGCTTTCCTAGCAGCAGAGTCCAGCGGCACTGAAACAAACGTGCTGTCTGAACCAGTCTGGTCTGCCTTAGAGAGGAGACTTTCTAGTAGCTTCCATAGTCCCTAATCTGAGGTTTTCTCAGGTAAACCATGAAAACACCAAAGTGGAAGGAATGGCCATCAATTCCGCGGGGAAAGGAATGCTGGACCCTTCTCAGCTAGTCTCAAGGCAGCTAGATTTTCAGTTGGGCAGTTTCCTGGGTGTTTTAAAGAATGTTTCTTAGGTAGACTCTGAATCAGGGCCTAGAGAATGGTGCACTTTCAAGAGCCTTCCTATTGTTTGGGGATTAGTACCACCCTGAGGCTCAGAGGAGGAGGGCACTTTGTGAGCAGTGGGTGCAAGTGGTGTGGGGGTGGGGCAATGGTAATTCCTGGGCCTTTCCACTTCCTTCCTAACCCAGTGTCTTGGTGCAAGGGGCCTAGAAGAAGCATTTGCTGCTCTTTCTTTGTCTAGATTGGTGCCCTTCCTCTTATCCACTCCAGCTTGCCCCATTCATTTCTTCATTCATTCAAAAGTATCTTACAATATGCCATGCACCGTGTGTACAGTGGTAAGAAAAACATCCTTCCCATACTCACTAGAAAAAGAAATGAAGAGTGATGAAATGTTTTTCTCAACCCTCTCAGTGCCCTGTCTTCTCTCCTCTCCCAGTCAGCTCTACTCCTCATCAGATACTCAGATACAGTGCATTCCCACCCCCTAGAAAAACCTGTGGTCAAACTCATCGCCTCTTAACACCTTGGGTAGTTGAGGCCTAGAATTCTATTCTTTGGGCAGGAACTCTTAGATTCACCAGTTGCTTAAAAGAACCACGTGGGGCAGCAAGGAAAGCATGGTGGCTCTTTCTGTGCAACTCTAGTGGCCCTAGTAATTCAGGACTTGACTCTTTCAACATCTCACTCCCACTGTCCTGTGATCCAGCCTCCTCCAAGCTCGTACCCCCTAGCCAGTTGCACTCTGTGCTGGTTTCTGGGGTAGGGACGTCCACTTTGGAGAAGTTACCATGAGGACTTTAGGACATGTTGGGCCAGCAAATCAACTGAGACACTTAACTGGAGAGTGACTCCAGTCTGGTCCAAGATAAAAGGAAATCTCTATTGGACCACCAGTGGGTGAAATGAATTATGGAGACGTTCTCTTGAATAATCTTCAGTAGCAGCACTTTGTTAATACTATCTATGTGGACAGTCACAGCAGTTCATTCATGTGGTCAGTTTTCTAAATGCTGTTTCTTGGGCCATGGCCACACAAAAGCTCTTCTCCTTCCTGCCCCCCCCCCCAGCTGCCCTTTATTGAGAGTGGTCCAGATGCCAGCTACCATCCTGAGTTCTCTCATTTACTTTATCTAACAATCTTATGAAATGAGGTATTCCCTCCACTTAAAAATGAAGAAGCTGAATCGCAGAGAAGATAGACAGCCAAAGTCACAGTGCCAGTAAATAGCGCAGTCAGGATTCAAACTGAGTTCAGAATGGCTCCAAAGCTGCGCCCCTGGCCCAAAATGGACTGTCATTGGGAATGGAACCTTCTGATTCAGTTCCCTTTCTTCCGTTCCAAGGTTCATTGAAAAAAGTTTTCTAATCTAGTGGGAATGTCTAAAACTCAGAAAAACAACATAATTAACTTAAAAATAGGTTTTAAAAGTCTTCCGAATGCTTGCACTTGAGAAATCTCACGTTAATTAGAGGAGGTGGAAAACATAGACGACTTTTGAGAGTGTTTTGAATGGAATTTGAGAGAATTTTCAAGGGCTTTGGCGGCCCACAGCAAAGGCTCTTTTGTTCCCATTTTCGTTTTCGTTTTTAATGCTTTTGTGAAAATTAAAAACACTTCTAAGAAAAGTATGTAACACGTATATGTATAATACTGGTTAAAAATAGAAAATGATCCGTCCCTAGTACCCTTCCCTGGCATACAGCGTCTGCTCCTTGTTATGTACACATTGCTGCAGTGTGGATATTTCCCTTTCCTTGGTACTTTCAGGACTGTTTCCTACTCATGAACCTTGATTAGAATCATTCTAGTGAGACATGGAAGAACAAGTAAAAGAGAAGGGGAAAACAGTTCCTGTGACAATAGGGCGAGAACTGGAAGAAAGGGAAAGGAGATGATGATAGAGGACGGATGGAGGCATGGGTACTCATGAGGAAGCTGTCTTCTAAGGAGGAGTGGATAGAGCTAAAAGGGAAAAAAGGTAGAAAAAGGAGGTGTGTACTTTGGAAAGAGAGAAGATGTGCCGGAGGCGGGATGCATTAGACAGGCCCCCAAATTTGAGAGCTGTTGGTATCATCAGTTAGAGGTTGAGCTGCTCTGTGGAGCCAATTTGTGGGGAGAGGGAAGAGAAGCGCAGCCTGAGTGTGAAGGAAGAGAGCACGCTGAGACAGACACTAACCAGTTTAGTTAGTCATCACTGGGAGACGTCCGCTAGATGGAACATCTGAGAGTGTGAATCTCATGTCCAGGGCTAAACAGAAAGGCCGATGCCCAGGCATCATTTTGTGACTGGTATTTGGGGGCTGGGGTGGGGCGGGTTGCTAGTTTGTTTGTTTAATACTATAATAATAAAGGGCCATAATTACTGAGTGGGCGTTGAAGCAAAGAGGCCAGGAATTGAAAATACAATAGCAGGAATCTGAATCAAATCTTAGAAGGGGGAAAAAGAAAAGTACTACAAGTAATTTAGTAGTCTGGGAAGAACAAAAGAGACTTACAACTGAACTTTATCATAAAATACGTTTCTTTAGTTTATGACTACAGTTTACATCACTCTTTTTTTTTTTTTTTCCAGGAGCCTTGCAAACAACAATCTCCAGACTCTCCCAAAAGATATTTTCAAAGGCCTGGATTCTTTAACAAATGTGTAAGAGGACCTAAAAAAATCACTGATTCATTAATTAACTTGCAGTAGTTAACAAAGAAGCCTGGTGTTGATTATGAAAATGTTTGATTGGCTTTAAATTAAACGAGAATTTTTAAATTTAAATTTTAAATTTAGTTGGACTAATGTTTGCGTCTCCTATGGTATCTACCACTATATTCTGAAAATACAGTCCCAAGCTTTCCTTTGATAAAGTGTGTGTGTGTCTGTATGGGAGAAAGTGATGACAGGGACTTGGAGAGGGGGGAGAGAGGAGGGCTAGATAGAAATTTCAAGATGCCTTTTTTTCACATAAGGTCCAGGAAATTGGGCTACAAAGGAAAACATAAAGAAGTCTGGGAAACTGACAGAGTAAAGATGAAAGGTTACACTCATGGGTTGGTCAGTCAACAGAGAAATGGAGCAGGAAGTGGGGGAAGGAAAGAAGTTTGCCTTTTCTCTCCTTAGACTGAACAAAAACTCTAGGCTTAATCCCCAGGAATTTGGCTTAAGCCCCAGGAAGGGAATGAACTTAATTACTTTTGACCCTTTTTCAAACAAACGAGCTTTCAAACTTTGACTTTTAAGCCTCAGAGTGAAAGATCTTTGTAAGGAATTTGTCTATTTTGCAGTAAGCAAAGCAACTAATATATGTCTAACCCTCTCAAAAGCAATTTAGCTTCAATAAGTGCCTTCGAGGACATTAGAAAAGTATTTAAATGTCATAAGGTAGAATACAGGAACCAACAAAAAGGTATATGAAAACAGAGTTCTTATTATTCAGGTACTTTGCTATAGAATATATATTCAAAACAACTTTTCTCTGATAACAAAAAAATTGAGTCAACTATTTTCTCCTAAACCCAGTATTTAACTTCAAATCAGTAAGCTAATGAAAAACTTTCTTTGTTCTTCGTAGTATTCCCCCAGCCCTTCCTCCATGCCTATTACCCCAGTTCCTGAAAGATGGTTTATTGCCAAGAGAGTGTCAGAATCAGGACACTTCCAAAGAGTCTCGGACAGACCACAGTTATCCACTCTGGTTCACCATAGCCCAGAAAAGTTGACACTCCTTATTCTGGGTCAGAGTATTCTTGGGATATGAGGTCAGTCCTGGGAATGTCTTGGAAGTTAGATGATATCATTGTAGATATTGGGGATACAGCTTATTTGGGGACCCTCTGGCCCAACCTTGTGTCAGCCAATACCCCACACTAGCAAAAGAAAAAACACTTGAAATTGGCTCAGTTTCTCCAGGGAATCCCACAATGGTTTTGGCTGACATGCCCAATTCAAGAATTATCTGAGTGCAAGGATTCATGCCAACTTGCCTTCTAAGTGGATTTGCTGGTTTTCTTGAATGTATCCTGTAAAACACATTTTTAAATGCTTCAACATTAAAAAATGATTCATGTGTTCTGTGAAAAGGAGGCAATACCTATTTTAGGAATTCTCTGTGACCAAGAACGGTTTTAGGAAAGAGAGTTTCTGAACAGAAACAATGCAAATAAACAGAACTTGGTTAGTTGGGATCATATGTGGAAATTTAAACTATGCTGCACAGTTAATTAGGGACATGAGCTATTGTATGTCTGCGTTAACTTGGCTGTGTCGAAGTCACTTCCTATTAAAACTGAATTTGTAGACCATGGAATAGGATCAGGATTAATTACGTCTGTGAGGAAGAAGAAAAGCAAATAGCTCACTCAGTTTAATTAAATATGGTACAACAATCACAACATTCTGACTTCTAGACCTGCATTTTCCAATAATAATAGCCACACATGTGGTCACAGAACACTTGAAATGTGTTCCTAGGGTAACTGAGGAACTGAATTTTAAATCCTACTTAATTTTTTAAAACATTAAGTGAAAAACTAAATTTAAATTTAAAACCTGATTCTCTGTTCAACCATTGGAAAACTTTTAAGGATGTTTGGAACAACTTGGGGAACAACAACATGAATCTTTTTTTTTTTTCAACTGTAAATTTTATCAAATCTAAATACAAATCAGGAATTTCTACTGAAATGTTATTATCCAAATTGAGACATATTGTAAGTATAAAATACATTTTAGACTTCAAAGACTTAGTATAAAAAGAGAATGTAAAATATCTGATTACTAATTTTCATATTGACTACATGTCAAAATGATAAAATTATATATTGGGTTACATAATATAAGCTATAAAAATAAATTCACCTGTTTCTTTTTACTTTTTAATGTGTCTGTAGGAAACTTTAAATTATATATGTGGTTCACATTTTATTTTTGTGGGCAGCACAGCTCTAGACTGAGGTACGTTTGAATCCAAAGCATATGAGGTTCCATTATGAGTTTCCATTGACTGGAGGAGCCAACAAGAGTGCACTGCGCTAATTCTCTGAGCCCAAAGAGAATGGTCAGTCAGGTTCAAGGTGGAATGTGGGGCATGATATAAAGCTAGGTGAGGCCATTCTGCCCATGTTAATTGCTGAAGTAAAAGTCATGCCTGTGAAGGAAGGATCCTTGTATATCAAAAGCAGCTGAAGTTTGTCTTTCAGGGACCTGAGAGGTAATTCATTTAATTGCGACTGTAAACTGAAGTGGCTAGTGGAATGGCTTGGCCACACCAATGCAACTGTTGAGGACATCTACTGTGAAGGCCCCCCCGAATACAAGAAGCGCAAAATCAATAGTCTCTCCCCCAAGGATTTTGATTGCATCATTACAGGTAATGTATTCCAAGTCATTCCACCTCAAAAAATTAAAATAAGGGCTACTTTTTTGCACATGCAAGAACCGATATTTTTTATATCTTAAAAACTAACTGAACAATTCAACTTTAACAATATTATGAACCATTAAAATTTCTCATGTTTAAAAGCAAAGTATAATTGCCATTTCACTGTTTCTCTAGAATAAATGTATTTCTTATGGACATTTGAGATCTGGCCAAGGAATGAGGCATGAGCACAGTTACTTATCATCATTTTCCATTTTTGCAGAATTTGCAAAGTCTCAAGACCTGCCTTATCAATCACTGTCCATAGACACTTTTTCTTATATGAATGATGAGTATGTAGTCATCGCTCAGCCTTTTACTGGAAAGTGCATTTTCCTTGAATGGGACCATGTAGAAAAGACCTTCCGGAATTATGATAACATTACAGGTAAGAAAAGCCTGATCGTATTTTGAGTGGAAAGTTAAGCTACTTGGGCCAAGGGAAAAGGAATCATTTCCAGTAGGAAAAGAAGAGTAACATTGGGGAATGCTTTAGACAGAGTCATCTGAAGCTCAATTCTACAATTTACTGAGTACCTGGGATTGTTCCCTAAACTTTAATTTCCTTACTTGTAAAATGGGAATAATAATACCTAACTTGCAGGGTTATTAGTAAATAATGAGATCACACATTTAAGAAACTTAGCATAGGACCTAGCTTAGTAAATATGCAATAGAAGGTGGGTTGTTTTTCTTCGAAGAAGAAGCATTGGATTAGGAACTATGAGTTCTAATCTAGGTTCAGCTACAAGCTAAGAGGTCAAGCCACTCACCCTCACTGGGCCCCTGTTTTCCTTAACTACAAAATAAGAAAGAAAGTTATTTTAGATCAATGAGTCTCAAACTTTTTTGCAAAAACATTACTTTTGCAAAATGTATCCCTTGTGACATAAAGGGTTTTGTGGTCCAATAAACTTGTGAACCATATCTCCCTCTTAGAGATTCATCATAATACATATTAGAGGCCCTGAGCCATCTTGCCATAAGGAAACAAACCACTTTCTAGTATTTTTTGCATTTAATTTTATCATGGAAATCTTCTTTTTTTTTTCCCATGAAAACTTTTACTTAGGTGATATCTTAAGTTCCTTCTCATTTCAACAACTTTTAAATGTTTAAATCACAAATTATAACCTCTGAAATACCTTTATATCACCTTTAGCTTCTAAATACCTTTAAATCTGCTCCTAAGAGCACTCGCACATCCCCATAAAAGGTCACCCATTAGACAAAGCTGGGACGGTTAAATTTGGATTTAGTTGGTGGTTATTAGCCCCATCGTTCAAAGGATCCAGACAGGTTTGGGAGACAGAGGTGCCCAGATGAAGGAATCTCCTACAAACTGCGGCCCTCCCAGAATCCTCTTTCCTTTTCCAGGGGGAAGGCTGTGTTCCCCCTTCTCCCTAAGCCCCACCAGTTTTCCAGTGGATTGCAGCAGGGCTTTGTGCAATCTACACCAGGCTCTTCTTATGTGTGTACAGTCTGTCAATTGCTTTGAATGAATCTTTAGATGAGTACTTGAAAGAAAAAATGAATCATATATTTGCAGACTTTCATAGGGCATCATCTAGTCTAGGATGACAAATATATGTTACACAGACAGTCACTATCCCCTCCCTCACCCCAGACAGACATCGCTAATCTATCATGGTGTTCTTCCTTGCAGAGAACAGAATCTTCCTCAACACAGTTCTCTAGGCAGTCAATCAATCAGTCAATCAATACTGCTTCCTGGCTGAAAACTAGTGGTCATCTCTGATCTAGTGCCAACCCTCAGTGCACAGAAGAGAACGCTGAAACCCAAAGAAGTTAAATGATTTTCCCAAGGTCACAGAATCAGCTGAGCCCTGAAAAGGGTCACAAATAAGATAATGCCTGTGGATAGAGCCAATTAATAGAAGGAGTTAATGCAGAACTCACTGCCTTGGAGCCTTTAAAGCTGCTGTCAGAAAAGACATGGGGTCAGATTTGCCCTGCTCTCTTTACACTTCCTAGAGCCAACCTCCCTATAGGAGATCAGAATCTATTGGTAAATGCTGAACACTTACCAAAGGATGCCCAGCTAGGCCACTGACAGACCCCCTCATATTGTCTTCCAAGATTTCCCAAAGTGACTTTCAGGAGCAATACCCACAACCGGTACCCCTCTTTCACTTTTCTCATGGGTGCCTCTTCCTTGTCTTCTGCCACCAGTGACCTAAAGCTTCCGAGAAATCACAAGTAGTGTCTCTTTCCTATCTCAGGGGAAAGTCAGTTTATTCTAGAGCAAGAAGCAGTTCATACCTAGAGCAAACCAGTAACAAGTCGAGGCTGGGCTGCCCCAGCCACCACTCAGGACTTTATGGGGTTGTTCTAGAACTTCATGAAATCCTAATCCAAGTTGGAAGCTCTGGAACAGCTAACTCCTCATGCCAGATTGAGTTAAGAGCATAGAGAGGCTGGTAGGTTTGGGTTTGAATCTCAACCCTGCCTCCTCCCAGCAGCACCAAACCTCGTTGAGCTTCATTCTGCTAGACTGAAAAAGGGAGGGTGATAATATTTAGCCCTTAAGGTTGTTGAGAAGTTTTATGAGATGATTTGGCAAAGCACATAGTAAGTGCTCAATAAACGCCAATGCTCACTGGAATTACTATGATTAACTCATTATGTGTTAGGGAAAGCAATGCTTTCCTTCCGTACGAAGTGAGAGAAAACTCAGGCTGCGGCCGTGTGCCCTGAACACCTAGTGCAGGTTGGATGTGACGTGACAACTCAGTTGTTGGTAACAAGGTGCCATGAGGTACAAGGCACAGAAAGATCCTGTTACCATTGGACCTTGGAAATTGGCCTTGCCTAATTAACCGGGCTGATTTTGGTGGCAGTTGCATGGCCTCAGCCTGTGGGTTTACATGCTCCAAAAGAGGATGGCTGTCCACCTAATCTCTCCTTTGTCTTTTCCCAGGCACGTCCACTGTAGTGTGCAAGCCTATAGTCATTGAAACTCAGCTCTATGTTATTGTGGCCCAGCTGTTTGGCGGCTCTCACATCTATAAGCGAGACAGTTTTGCAAATAAATTCATAAAAATCCAGGACATTGAAATTCTCAAAATCCGAAAACCTAATGATATTGAAACATTCAAGATTGAAAACAACTGGTACTTTGTTGTTGCTGACAGTTCAAAAGCTGGTTTTACTACCATTTATAAATGGAATGGAAATGGATTCTACTCCCATCAATCCTTACACGCGTGGTACAGGGATACTGATGTGGAATACTTAGAAATAGCCAGAACACCTCAGGCACTCAGAACGCCTCATTTAATCCTGTCCAGTAGTTCCCAGCGTCCTGTAATTTATCAGTGGAACAAAGCAATACAATTATTCACTAACCAAACTGACATCCCTAACATGGAGGATGTGTATGCCGTTAAGCACTTCTCAGTGAAAGGTGACGTGTACATTTGCTTGACAAGATTCATTGGTGATTCTAAAGTAATGAAATGGGGAGGCTCCTCATTTCAGGATATTCAAAGGATGCCTTCGCGAGGATCCATGGTGTTCCAGCCTCTTCAGATAAATAACTATCAATATGCAATTCTCGGAAGTGATTATTCCTTTACTCAAGTGTATAACTGGGATGCAGAGAAAGCCAAATTTGTGAAATTTCAGGAATTAAATGTTCAGGCACCAAGATCATTCACACACGTGTCCATTAATAAGCGCAATTTTCTTTTTGCTTCCAGTTTTAAGGGAAACACACAGATTTACAAACATGTCATAGTTGACTTAAGCGCATGACACACCAAATTCTCTGGCTGCCATCAGAAACTTTCTACAGTACATGATCCGGATGAACTCAATGCATGATGACTCTTCTTATCACACTTGCAAAGGAATGCCTTTCAAACATTGAGACTGCTAGAACCAAGCACTACCAGTATCTCCATCCTTAACCGTCCAGTCCAGTGGTGTGGGAAGTTACCTTTTATAAGACAAAATTGAATTGTGTAACTGTTCTTTGCAGTAAAGATGTGTAAATAAGTGTTTAATGGTATCTGTTACTCCAAAAAAGAAATATTAATATGTACTTTTCCATTTATTTATTCATGTGTTCAGAAACAACTGCCAAATAAAATGTTTACATTTTCTTTCATATCCCAAAGGTAATTATTTACAGGAGTTATTTTATTCTTGGTGATGATATGTTGAGGAAATAGTTTTATATAATAGGGTTGTATTTGGATCAAGAATGTGTGGTGTGAATAATGAGTGAAGATGAACACTGATATTGATTACCCATCACTTATTAATAGGTTGATCAGCTGATTTTGAACATTCAAAGGGCATGGCTTTTAGGAACACTTTGAGGTGAACTGGTGACAGATTAAAAGAAGGGAAGAGAAATTTGCCTATTACAAAAAGGCTAATTTAAAATAAAGAACAGTTAAGCCCATCCTTTCCTATCTGATAGCTCCAGCTGAAAACTTCATTCAGACAACTTGTAGAAGAAGCTAAAGTCAAGATTTTGGATTTTAAAAACCCTATTCAGGGACTTTCTAAATGTCTGACTCTAGAATTCTCTGAAAGCTGATAGAAATTGTAACCTTAAAGCACTTGCCTCAAATGTATCTGAGATGAAGGCCTGTTCTCTGATCAAGGATGCTTCACTTCTAGATAGCAGTTCTGACATGTTACTGACATGCTGCTGAGTGCCCAGTGGGCTCACATCTGGTTTCCTAAATCTCTGACCCTGGATCACATGGTAGTTAGCACTTAGCACAATGCCTATGATGGAGCAGGCTCTCAAAAACTGCTTTTGAAGATGCGTATGTGTCCTCCTGTTACAAACTTAATAATAAACTTCATGAGGTCCATTATCTAATCAGTCCTATTTATTGAGTACCTGTTAAGAACGAGGTATTGTTCCTCTGATTTGGGGAGGAAAACTAAGGAAGAATAGGGCATGGTCCTTGACCTGTGGGGCCTTAGAAGTCTAATAGGGGGGACTGGACACAAAAAATGACAGTGTAAGCAGTGAGTGCCAAATATCACCTGAACATTCCTACTTTAAGTATCATGGGAGTATCAAAGATGACTTCCTGGAAGAAGTGGTCCTTGTTTGAACTTAAAGGGAAGATGTGATTTCAAAAGGGGATCATGGTAGAGAAGATATTCTTGCCCGATTTGGTTCTGTGTGCTGCCTTCAAGGAGGGGATTAGAGCTTCCTCCAGCTCGTTGCTCCACAGACACTCTTGCCAAATCACGACAGGGTGGGGGCAGGTGGGACAGACAGCAACCCAGCTAGCAGCACATGTCTGGCGAACCTGAGGCATCCAAGGTACACCCAATAGCTTCATGGTCTCTGGGAAGCAACACCTTGGGGAGCTATGCAGAGGAACCAGATTCCTTTACCACATGGGGAAGGTATTAACTCCTACATCAGGATTATGGGGGACAAGAAGACTACTTGGCCACTCATGGTCCTGCATGTGGGGAGAACTGGCCTTTGAATGTCTGACTTTCTTTGTTCCCTTTTCCTATAAGTAGCATATATGTGATGGAGAACACCTGCTTGGTAGAGACTGCATTTAAGTCCAGCCCTACCATGTACTGGCTTTGTCCACAGGCAAATTACATAACCTCTCTGAGCCTCAGTCTCTTCATCTGGAAAGGACAGTAGAAGGATTAAATGAGACAATGCACCTTTGGTGGATTGAATTTTCCAAATATGGCCACAATATCTCCCACACTACGTGCTCTATGAGAACCTGTCCTCACCCCATCAAGAGAAAGCACTTAATTTCTCAGCCTTCAATCTGGACGGGCTTGTAATCACAATAGAATGTGGTGGAAATGATGCAGTTTGACTTTTGAGGCTAAGTCATAAACACGATGAAGCTTCTGCCTTGTGAAACTGGGACAATCACTTTTGGAGGCCTGAGCTGCTACACAGAAAGTCCTACCAGCCTGAGGCCACCACTCAGAGGAAGCCCAAACTTGGATCAACAGCCTGAGCTGAGGTCCCAGCCAACAGCCACATCAACCACCAGTCCTGTGTGTGAAGATGCCTCCAGGTGACTCCAGCCCTCAGCAGTCAAGCCACCACCAGCCATCAATCTTCCCAACTGAGGCTCCGAACACTGTGGAGCAGAGACAAGCCATCCCTATATGCCCTGTCCAAATTCCTGACCCATAGAACCTATGAGCACAATAAAATGATTGTCTTAAAAGGCCAAGTTTTGGGGTGATTTGTTACACCGACGCAGTGATCAGAACAATACATACAAAGTGCTTAACACAGAACTAGCACACATTAGCACTCACCAAGTGCTAATGGGCTCCACGCCCAGAATATTACATGCTTTGGGGCCATGTTCTAACTTATTGCCTTAATGTAATTCACCGTTACTTCATTTTTAAAGGATGTCGCCTGTTTTCAATAGGTTAACAGTGTTCCTACTCTGTGCCGGCTAGGCAGTCTGCTGACTCCAGGGATGCAGAGATTATGGGTCTAGATTCTGCCCTGTTTTCATACAGGCATTGAATATTTAAGTTAGCAAGCCAACTGTCTAATTTACTTTGAACCTGAGACTCAGGAGATGTGAAGTGAGTTGGATGACGGGGGCTACAATCCAAGCTTTCTGACACTCAGCCCAGTCCTTTCTCCATTACGTGGTGCTACCTTTCAAAATCTCACCCTCCAGCTGGAACCTGGGATTGCAGATGGGGAGAGAGGTGAGGAGTGAGGAGGCTGACCAAGAAAGTAAATTCAAGAAAGGCTGGAAAAGAGGACATAACGATAGGGTCCACTTTTGCAGGAACTGACCAGCCTTTTCTGAGAGTTGCCCTCTCTCCCTGTACCCCGCATCTACTCTATACTATGCCACTCAGCCTCCTTTCGAGCTATAAATGATTAGACCTGAAGTGAACCCCCATTCCACGTGTTCAACCCAGAAGCTGCGCTGGGCTCAGCCTGAGCCAATCCATTCTCCCTCCTGGATATTTGGGATCAGGACAGCAGAGGCTGGGCCAATTATTCAGAGTCACCATACCTGTAAGGTGATGATCCTAAATCAGGTTGCCTCAAAGCAGTGGGAATTACTGAAAGAGTGCCCTCAGGTAAGGGAGAGAGAGCAGCATAGAGTAGGGGAAGATGCTTGCAAAGATATCCTTTCAGGAGAAGTCCAACTTTGGCCTGACCCCACGGGGAACTCTAGGGCACAAATCGTACCACAGAGTGTGTCCTGCTTGCAGCAAGGGTGGTGAACACTTCTATGCCTCATCTGATCAGTCATTGACTAAAGAGCATAACCTCTCAGGTATCTCCAGCTGAGAAGGTTCCAGATGGCTAAGGGCAATCCTCCAGAGAAGGGTACCAACATGAGCTGTCATTATTCAACACCCATGCTGCAGGATGGATGCACCAACCCAGCAAAGGGCATCAGGGTGGGCAACTGAAGCATACGCTACAGCGATGGTGGCTGAGGTGCTGCTGCATTCTGGAGCAGCCATGATGGTCCACGTACCAGGAGAGCAGAGAAGCCTGGTCCAAAAGACAGTGAAGCAGAAACTCCAAAAGAAATACATAGTCTGAAGGGGAGAGGGAGGGAGAGAAAAGAGAGGGAGGGAAGAAGAGAGACAAGGGGTAAGAAAAGGGACCAAGAGGGAGGGGAAAAGGGAGAGTAAAAAGGAGGGGAGGAGGGAGAGTGGGAAGATGACTGGGAGGCATGGTGTCCCAGGTTGGGTCACCTGAGAACCAGACTCTTAGAAGTGGAAGTACATTTATTAGGTAGCACCTTTGAGATCAAGACCTGCAGAGGAGAAGGAATTAGAATCTGGCAAAGAGAGCAGCTGAACTGTGAGGCGGTTCTAATAAAAGCAATCCAGGACAAGGAAGACCTACAATGGCCCTACAAAGTCCTGAAGGTGAAGTTCAAATTTGGCCCAGCTTCTCCTTCCACTAAAGCATCCACTTCAACCACCCACCTATCTTCCACACAACTGCCAGTCCCTGTCCACCTAAGCACTTACATGCAGAGAGAATGTTGTGTAAAAAATAGCTCTTCAAATTTCTGTCTGGCTTTTGTGCTCATAAAAAGCCAGATATCCCTGAATGATAAAATGAAGCAATTCTCCCACGTCTCTGTCAGCAGTCATATTAATTGATTTGTGTCATTATTTTTTAAGTGTATTATGTTGTTTGTTTGTTTGTTTTTTCTGAAGGAAGACAGAATCAAGTTCAAGAGGGGTTTATTATATTGAGTCTATGTGACTTTGGCCAAGTTTCCTCAGTTAGCGTGAAGTCATTCTCCACTACTCGTGGTCCAGTGAGGAAAAGCATACGCCCTCTTCCTGTCTCCAAACCCTGTCTGCTCTCACTGGGTGTATCAGAATTATCCACGGGGATATTTCCAAATACACATGACCATTTATTCACCCCAAGTTCTGATCCCTGAGGAGGTACAGTGGTTAGGATTCTTTTGGTTGTCAGTTGCTGAAATCCAACTGAACTAGTTTAAACATAAAAATGCATCTAGCTTCAGAAATACCTGGACCAGATATTCAGATGCTATTTTCATAAATCTGTCTTTCCCTGACTCTTGGCCCTATTTTCCTCTATGTTGACTTCTTCCTAAGTCAGTCCTTTCATGGTGGAGAGACTCCCACCAGCAGCTCCAACACTGTGTCTCGCCAGTTTAGGCGTGCCCTTTAGCAAGACCTCTTTCTCAGTAGTTCTAGCAAAAGTGGGGGCTGGTGTTCATTGGCCCAGTGCCCATGCCTGAAGTAATGGCTTCAGCTAAAGACAGAGTGCCCAGATTGGCCAAGCTTGGGTCACGTGCCACCCTAGAATCCACAGGTGAGAACCACAGGGAATGAGAGTGAAGTAAGGGTGCTTCCCTAAAGTAAAATTAAAGTGCTATTAGAAAGAAGGAAAGGATGCCGGACAGGCAAAACAACAAAAGTCATCAGCAGGAGGTGTGCCCTCTACTGAGAACCTCTACATAGAGATACGGAGTTTCCAGAGGAGAGGCCACACCCTCAGATGTGTCTAGAATCCCTTCACTAAGAGGTTTCAGGGAGCCCTTCTTATTTTGCGAAACTTGACAAAATATATGCTCCCATCTTTGTCTATTATTCGTGGTGATTCATTGTTACAATTTCTCTATACATTTTAAATGGTGTTCTCTTAAATACTCTGTTTTAAAATATTTAAGCTGATACCCTTTGTTTCAAAATGGTGTTTTCCCAAGTGAAGTTAAGCTGCCAATTCTGATCCAGTGGCCATGCATGCTTGGGGGATGAGACCAAGTGTTCCTCGATCACCTTCTGTTCTCCTGGATATGCTTCCATTTCAGATCAATCCCCATCTGGCAAGGGAAGCCATCTCCTTGCTTGAATCACCTTGAGGTTGGCTTTGCAGATGAAAATCTTAGAAGTTCCTTGGTGGTCCAGGACTTTCTCTGTCTAAGCTTTCCCACAGGTATCTAGTCATTTATCAGTTGGAAGTTATCATGGGCCAGTCTTGGCAGAGAGCAGAACATACAGCACTGACTTCTGTTAATAATGGTTCCCCAATTGGAGTGTCCCCCAGAATCACCCAGAAAGCCAATTAACTATACAGATTCTGAGACCTTCACCTCAAATTCACTGACACTAAATCTTCAAAGAATGGGACCCAGGAATTTTTATTTCTAAACATCCCTAAGGTGATTCTGAGTTGATAGCCATTACCAGTCCCCACTAACTGGGATTGGGGGCCCTGCTCTAAATAATCACATTGGGCTGATCAGTGGCTTGTCAAGAGTCCTAAACCTATGGTCACAATAGTTGGCCTTTAAAAACTCTGGAACATGCTGGCCTTAAATATTACCCTGGGTAAGACATTTAAGTTTCTTTCAGCTTCAATTTCTCTAACTTATTGGAACTGGATCTGGTCATCCTAAAGGTCCTTCCAGCTCTGAAGATTCTGTAACTCTCTGTTATAATGGGAAAAAAATTAGCTTGGAAGTTTAGAGATCTTGGCCCAGTGTCATCACCTTTATTGTTTTGTGACCTTCAGGAGTCATTTTCATTCTCTGGGCCACAATTTCCTTTTTTAAAAGATGAGTTAATTGGAGTATATGAGTTCTTTATTTTTATAATTTAAAATAGCCCTAAGATAACAATTAAGCCTTAGATACTCCTTTAGAATAATCTGTTGAGATGTACAGTACGAACAAGCTGAGGATGATCACAGTTTCCTGTTGATCTGGATTTGCTGGGTTGAGGATCTGCAAGCAGCATTTGGTATGTTCGTGTTTAATGGATATGACATTTCACTGAGCCAAACGGGAATGGAGTATTTTTAGCACAGAATTCATCAAGGTTTAGTAAAGAGGGCTTGTTCTCTGAATGGAGTGTGAAAAAGCAGAGATGCTATTTTTAAAACCAAACATAAAGGCCCCTTCCTCTCCACTATCACAAAATGGTCATATGTGCACTTATTTTCACCACAAAGCTTCAAGAACGTACTCCTTTCTGTATCTCCTATAAGGCAATATTCCATCTAGCACAATAACTGTGCTGGCTCACACACATTCCTCCTGTATGGGTATTGCCTGTGAACTTATGTTAAATAGGCTAAAAACAAGGTTAATCACTGAAGGCAATAATAATAGCTCCCACCTATTGAGCACTTACTATGTGCAGGACACATGCTGAATGTTTTACGCGTATTTAAGTCATTCAAACCTTGCAACAATACTCCTACTATCACTATATTCTAGAGAAGGGACTGAAGTTCAGAGAGGTTCAGAAGTCTGCCTAAGGCATGTAGCTAGTAAATAGCAGAGCTAGGATTCAAATCCAGGTCTGTCTTTCACAGATACAGAAAATAAACTTGTGTTTGCCAAAGGGGAGAGGGAAGCAAGGAGGGGAAAATGAGGGGTATGGGACTGAGAGATACAAACTACTATGTATAAAATAGATAAGTAACAATGATGTACTATATAGCACAGGGAATTATAGCCATTATCTTGTAATAATGTATAATGCAAAAATACTGAATCAGTATGCTATATATACTTGAAACTAACACAATATTGTAAATTAACCATACTTCGTTTTTAAAAAATCTAGGTTTGTCTGAAATCAGAGCCCTAGTGATTGACAACTAAATTGCATCAATTTTATCAGTCAGGATAGTCTGGGGTATATGGCAACCCCTTGGTAGAGCTCAAATATTACTGGC